AATCACGATTCTCTATTGGCTAATTTTGTAGATCATCACGTGAGAGTCAGCATCAGCCAAAATCAGCATCAGCCGTGACATTAAGGCATTTAATTAAATAGACGGTCTCCATTATGGAGCCCGTCTGCCGAATTGCGTTTTATCGGAATTAAAAATTTTCTTATTAGACGAATTATAGAGTCTGTATTGGACCCGTGACTGGAATAATTTTATATTAAACAGCTTTTATAAATTCTGGAACTTTCCCAAACGAATCCACTATTTAAAAATGAAGTCTAGAAATTTTCCAGTTCAAACTTTATTGAAAAAAATTTACACAATTTGCAATTTTTTTCTATTAGTTTTTTTGGATTTCAGCCAAAATTAAGTTAAATTTGGGCAAATTAAACTCAATTTGAGCCGAAAACAAATATCAGCTTATGTGATATATTTGCTGTAAGTGTGAATGGGATTTAAGTGGATTTGGAATCACCTAGTTAAATTAGGGTTAGGGTATGGGTGTACATATAATAAAATCATCCCTAAAATGATGGTTTTATATAAAAATTCCACGGCCTCTAGTTGCTGTCGGAGAATGGACTGATTGTTATTAACATTTTAAGCCACGCAAAGTTGGTATTTCGTTTTGCATTACCTGCCGACCCAATTTTTTGATTCCTTGTTGTGCAAAATGAAAAATTATCTTTGCGTAGCCTTAGATAATTTACAGTAAATAAGAAATGCCAATAATATCATATGATTCCGCAGACCCGGAATTACTCATAATTTTACTATTGAAATCACAGCCACACATTAAGTACATTAAGTGAGAATTGTTCCTGGGCCAATTTTACCATAATGGGCTTATTTTTTAAAATTTCCATTTTTGTAATGAAAAAATTAAAAGTTAATTCCGGCCGGAAATTAGTAACTAGTCATTTCCTTATGAACATGCAAGTAGGGTTGTATTACAAAAATTACAATTTTACATTTCATGTAATTTTGCGTAAATTTCAGTAACTTGAATTTCATGTAAATTTCACACGTACTGGCACTATGAAAAACTCAGCTAGCATTATTGAACTACAGTAGATTCTGCATAAAGTTCACTGACCAAATCGATGCACATATGATCCAACCAATCATATGAGCATATTACACGAAAACCATGTTACTGAAAACTTACGCAAAATTTCACAAAATTACGTAAATTACAACCCTACATGCAAGTAAGTGATTATAACAGGCCCAAACGGCTACGTTTACGCCCCCACTGGCGCGTTTACACGCCGTGAGCAGGGACCTGCGAAATCTGTGATATAATTTAGCAAATTATGTTTTCGATGTCAGTAAATTATTTGATTTACTGTTGATTAATAATAAAAACAGATTCAATTACAGTTACTTATCTGTACATAAATGTTAAAACTTTTTATAGTAAAAAGCTTGCAATTGTTTTAAAAATCTCATTCAGATTATCTACCGTTATAAAAGTGTTTGTTGTCGTGTCCAAACTGCTATTATAGCTTTATTTTCTTGATAATATTATATATTTTGGATTTATCTATATATCGCACCAGTGCGATACTCTTATTTATCGCCCAACCAATCAAATTTCAGGATCAGGTGTAACATAAAAAATACAAAAAACTGTAATTTTTTGAAAATCGCCAATACCTCAATATTTTGCATAGGAAACAGCCCTTTGTGTTCTAACAAAAAAAATTCCTTGCAAAATTTTGATATAAACTATGCCTTATTCTAACCCAAAACTGAACTTGCCCTAACTCTAATTAAAACAAAGTAAACCGTTTTATTTTTTTATTGTTTTGATTTCACGTTACACCTGTTCTTATAAAATGCAATATATAATTGTGTCGCATGGTGCGATATATACATTTTTTCATATATTTTTTAAATTTCCTTTCCTGGAATTGCAAGGAAATTTGGCCGTAGATCCCATGTTCGAAGACGTTACAAGTTACAAAAAGGTCAAATAAGTCGACAAAATCTACATCAGCAAATTTTAAAACCGTAATATTACGTAAGATTTACGATTGACGCAATATTGCGCAAGATTTTAAAAAAGTGCGAATTATATTAAGAAAATTCGCAAACTTTCGATAAGTAGCCTTGTTCAGCACCTTATTCTGGCCATAATGGTAGTTAAATCATCAAAATCTGCCCAATATTTGCTGAGATAGCTTATCGTAATATTTACGTAATTATTGCGCAATAATTCGAAATATTGCGCAAATATTACGATAAGCTATCTCAGCGAATATTGGGCAGATTTTGATAATTCGCACCTATTCGCACTTTTTTAAAATCTTGCACAATATTGCGCGTCAATCATAAATCTTACGTAATATTACGGTTTTAAAATTTGCTGATGTAGTTTCGAATGTACACCCTGCATATACATGTATAGAAAAAATGATTTGGCAAAATTGAAAACCTTTAATAAACTATCACTAAATAAAATTTATTTATTGTTTATAATACTTTATTATTGGCTGTAGAGACAAAGTATTTAAATAGATAAATTAATTTCTATTATTATAAATTAGTAAAATAAAATTATTAAATACACACGTGAAATATTATATTGAAAAATCGAGCGTAGTAGAATCTAAAAAATTAAAAGTGACAAGTGTATATTTACCATAAATTTTTGACAGTTTTGCAGGTGAAATAAATGAAGAATTAATTGGTTTGGAAAGGTTTTTAAAGTTAAGCAGTTTACTTGTAAGTTTATCTTTAGAGTAAATTGGCAACTCAGTTGGTAATGTAGGAATAATTTCATCTGCAGACTGGAATGCTTTTAATATTACTAATGCATTCTGATTTGTCGCACTACTATGATCTAATATCTTATACCAGCTTGATAGTTTTTTATAGATATCAAATGCAGTTGGCCTATTAGAAGTATTAGCATCCATACATTGATTCGCTAATTGGATATAGCACTCGGGAGTGTCTTTAGCAAATTCAGGGCGCAATCCATTA